CAGATGAAATAGTAGGAGAAGTCTAAGGCTACTTTCCCATGTTTGTAATAGCAGCCGATCTCAAAAATCTTAGGTACAGATTTCTTTGGGGCAGGCAACATAAAATTCTTACAGAAATAAAACCAGTGACTTGAGCTGTTTTTCCTTTTAATTTCATAAAGCTCTCCTTAGCCATAGAGCCACAGATGAGCATCCAAGTGTGTCTGTAGCAGGAATATCTGAGTGCTACCAGCACCAGAGGACACTGAAAATATGAAGGGATCTGAAAAACTGGTATTTACTCCACATATCTTTGGAGCCTTTAAAATAAAGCATTGTTAAGAACAGGATCTGCACAACAAGTCCTTGATAGGATGCAAGATATATTCAGAAGCTCAGTTTCATACACTTGCTCTTAAAACATCCTTAGTTCAACCTAAATTTACCTGTGTTGCACATAATTTTATTCAGTTCATGGCTAGCTGTGAGCTGCAGCCCAGCAAAGGAGGGGAGGGGGAAAGTGATCTCTGTCCCTATACCAGACCTGGCAGTGGGCCACCCTCACCTCTGGGCTGTATCCCTCCCCACAGCCCATCATCAAGCAGCCCATGGAACTGACACAGAGCCTGGGTGAACCCCCACCATGCACAGGCATGACCCAGGCACACGCACACCCTTCCAGGGAGCCCCAGGACCAAGCATGGCTCTCTCCCCTCCCCCTGCACAGGAGCCAGTTGGCAGGGACCAGGAGATCAGCTCTGAGCTTGCATGGAGCCAACCACATGGCCTCCATGGCTCGGGTACTGCTGGAAGGTACTCAGCCCATGGGCACCTTGCGCTGAAAGGTTTTTTAGCCATTTCAGGACCCGCTGGGGCATGGCCAGCTGCCTCTATGGTGTAGATCAAGGACCCTTGAAATTTACAAGCCAGAGGGAGCATGGGGCATTGCCAGAATCATAGGGTGCTGCTGGAAGGCCCTGGGAATTCTGAGAATGTGGAAGTGACCTGAACAGCAGGGCCCAGGTGATGCAGGAGCAGAGGCCACAAGCAGCTGAAGTGAGAGTGAAAGCCACACACTGGGAACCACACCAAGCATCCTCCACTCCTTCCATCCATCCATCCATCCACCTTCCAGCCTTTTACCCACTCCCTCACAGACCATCACCTACCCTATACATAAATCATAAATCTGCTTAATTGACGCCTCCTTGCCATACCTCTCAAGGCCATGCTGCACTTCATGAGACAATCGAGCCTTAGCAAGGCTACCCCAAGCACTTGTGCATAAACAACTCCCCCTCCCTCCAAAGCACTCGTGGAAAGGCAACGATAGCGTTTATTGAGCTCAGCAGGCAAAGGGTAAAAAGCTGAGTGTGAACCATGGACTGCTGGCATCAGGGGCTGCAAGACTGGGACAAAGAATGACCCAGGACATGTCGGGGGGGAACGGACAGGCTGGGGTGTGCTTACACCCAGCCTATCAAGTCACATGACCAGGGGCTCCAGATTGCCATCCACTCTTTGGAGGAGACAACCTGCAGCACAGCAGAGTTGAGAGAGTTGCAGCGCTAGGATAGGAAGTTCATGCACAGGGCTCTGGACTGCTTGGGTCCCACATATGACATCCCTGACTGGCTCCCATGGAGTGGCAAGATAGGCTGCCACCCAGCCCCCCACAGCATGCTGCACCCACTCCAGGGACTCTTCCATGGGGTAACAGGAATGGGAGTCTAAGGAAGGGGACCTCAGGATGATGGCAGTGAAGGAACGTTCCCCACTGTGCTTGACTGGGAGATGTAGGGGGGAAGCAGCTGCCAGCACAGGAGATGCAGTGTGTGGGAGCTGCTGACCCATGATCTAAGGAGCCAAGAAGGCACCCAGCATGGCCAATTCCAGGGAGAAGCAGTGGGTGAGGGTAGTGACACTGGGCTGCCTCAGACCCAGTTCCAGGGCTGACAGGGATGCTTCCCCCCTTCCAGTCCCAGCTCCCTACCCCTTAGTGCTGATCACCCCATATATGCACTGATCCCCCCCAAGCAGTTCCACGCTAGTCCCAAAGGGATGCAGGAGTGGTCAGAACCAGGGGGAAAGCATAGCTCCCCAGTCTGCTAGATCAGACTGTCACTAGGATATCTTCTGGCAGCAGAGCCCACCAGCCACAGCTTGTCCACCTGCCAGCCAGGAGGCCCAAGGTGGGGAGGTCTGCTCCCCATGGTCCCATTCCTGGATCAGGTCCCAGTCAGGGGGAGTGGTGCAGCCATGGTGGGGATGGGCAGCCCCCAGGTTTGGACCAGCTCTCTGGCATGAACCCCAGGCATAGGCAAGGCAGTGGATCCATGATCCTCAAAGGGGAAACCATGGCCCCGGGGGTAGGAACTAAGCACCTGGGTATCCCATGTGGAAGAGCAAAGAATCCATGGCACCTACTATGGTGATGCTTCCCACTCCATAGCCTCCCCTACACCAGACCAGCAGCACCCTTCTGCCCCAAGGCCCTCTCAGACTGACAGTAGGTACAGGATCACACGGCTGTCCATGTAGAAGTCCTTGGTTTTCATTCCTGCCCCTAAAAGTAAATGCCAGGTCAAAAGTCCCCCTGTCCCATTCCCCCCTGCCTCCAAGGTCTCGTGTTTGTTGAGTTCAGCCCCTGGAGCAATGCCCCTGACTCCTCTTCCCCTCCAACCACCCTTCCAGGTTCTTTTGCCCCTCTCAACCCCTCCCCACCCCCGAACCTCACCTCCTGCAAAGTTTTTCTGGTTTGTATTAATTTGGAAGAGGGACCAAGTTCTGTCATGGGCAATGTTCAACAGGTTTTCTTTATTAAACACACAAAAGTTTTGGCAGCTGCAATGTTTTATTAAACCAAGGCACATCTCTTCCTCATGGCCAAGTTCCCCCACACCCTTGTGTTTCCCATTGGTAGGGATTGGGGAGGGAAAGGGAAAGGGGAATGGTGCCCAGGGAGCCTGGGTTATGGGCAGCACTGCCTGGGATGCAAGGTCAGAGAAGCCTGGGGCAGGAGACCTATTGTGCAGTGACAGGGAGGGGGCATTCAAAGCCCTCTGGCCCTACTCATCTAGGGAGGGTTCCAGGTCCACAAGGGTGAGGATCTAGATGGCCAGGTCTTCATGGATCCAGACAGCCTGCCACTGTGCGGGGCCAGGGCCACCAATATCAGTAGGGGTCTCACCCTCTGCCCTATTCCTGTGCCATGTGTACCTGTGGTGCCAGGCCCAGTCCACATTTTGGCCCAGGATTCATAGAAGACACTCCCCCGGTCTCGAAGATATTGTGGAGGACCCATGCCAAGATTATAAGTTATGCCTGGTTCTCCTTATCCACGTGAAGGCACATGCTGAGGGCCCACCCAAGGAGTGGGGAGTTGCACAAGATGTGGAGCTGAAAGTCCAGCTGAAAGTCAGTGGCCCAGTCCCAGACAGTTGGCAGTCATAGGGTGCGCTGGGTGGCCATACACAAGATTGCTGGCTGGTGGCTCATGGCCATGAGGGTGCATGCCATGGTGAGCAACTCCCACATGAGGTCCAGCTGGGCAGCCAGGATGTCCCAACAGCCTCCAGTGAAACTCACACTGGGCAATCAGCAGGACTCACTGCAGCTCCTAAGTCTCCCTGCTTGGCCACAGGTGGCAGGCACAATTGCAAGGTGTGTACAGACCAGGACACTGAGGCACATGCAAGCCACAATAGCAGGGGATTGAGGCTGTGGTGGCCCATGCCCAGTAGCCAATCAGGGATGGCACCGTTCAGGAGTCTTTGGCTCCCCAGGGAGCCCATGGGGCATGCTGTGAGGCATGTGAGAGGGCCTCCTCCCATCCCCCAACCTTTTGGCCTCAGCCAATGCAGGCAGGCTCCGAGGCCTGGCCCTGCCCCTGATCCCCACCCCACATGAAGGGGCTACCTTCTGCTGTATTCAATCCCAGCCTACCCTTGTGTGCTTAGAGTAAAGCTCAAAACTTAGAGCAATTCTGCCTTGGTCTTCTTAAACACCTGTACATAGTGTTACACTGGTACACTGAGTACCTTGTGAGAATGTATACATTCCAGTTCAAGGTGGCATTGTTTTCTTTTAATTTCCAGAATTAATCTGAGCTCCAGTGGCAATCCCATTAGCCTAACTATTCAGCTCAAGAAACACAGACACTTTGATATTCCAGGCTGCAAACTGTTATCAGGCATACTTAATCTAAAAACATTGTTCTACCCTGGACATAACTGATATGCATAAGATGGGGTAAAATTGTGCACATTCATAAGGGCAAAGGACCTTCTTCCCCTTTTCTCATGAGGTCATAATTGTGATTGATATAACAAGCATACTGATAAACTATGTGCTAAAATACAATACCTAGGCATGGGAGGGAAAAGCATATATGGTTTGTAGACTCTTTTTGCTGTCAAAAGGGTAAGCTGTACTGTGCCATAGGCCCACAGAGAAATTCAAAAGACACATTGCAAGGCAGCATTTTCCCTCTCTGGGGGAAGGCAAATGCATGAGGAACATTAACTTTTCTTACCCCATTCTAGCTTTCAACTTTGGAGTTCAACCCTCTTCTGTCCTCCAGGCTTTCTCTCTTTCCCCTTACGCACTGAAAAGGTTTGTATTGCAGTTACAGTGCTGCCTAATGTTGCAATGTGCCCAGTGGAGACACCTCTCTCATCAGAAGCAGCTGGGCCCTTAGCTCATTCACTCGAGGTTGAGCACTAAGCCATGAAAGAAGCTAATGGCTAAATCTCATCTACCCAGGACCCCAGAGACAAAACACCTTCCCCCTGGCAGCTGAGAGATAGATTAAAAATTCTGACCAGCTCCCAGGGAAGCTGGGGACATGCTCTAGAAAACCTAACCATCCGAACAAAGGCTTTGGATGCAGCACATCTGCCTGGTACCACATTAGAATGCAGGCAGGCTGAAATGGATGGAGAGATTGCGAAGGGCAGTGATGAAATGCTTTGAGACATGAAGTGATTGCATCTAAAATTATTTGATGAGAATTTACTCACTACAGGAGGCGCAGTCTGAGGCATCTCTTGCAATGGCTGAAAGTTAGCCGCAGTGGTGCAGACTCTGGAATTCAGCGACCCACACAAAGACAAATCATGGTCCTCTTCAGAAGGCAAGGAAGTCTGTGAGGCTACCAGGAAAAAAAAAATCAACTCTTCAAAGCTTTGTAGTCACCCTATGTTTATTTTCTTTTGCTCCAAATCAGAGCAGTCCAGCTGGCAGCCTGTGAGCCATGAGTGGTTAGGTTGCAGCCCCAGCTCTCACTCAACATCTACTCCTTCGCTGCAAAAGCAGCCAGAGTCTCTGGGCTCTCTCTCCCTTCCCCTGCTGCTGATTGCTGGCCTTGTCCAGGGTAGGGTGACCACACATCTCTAACTGGGTGGGACAGTCCTGGAATGGGATCATCAAGTCCCAGTCCTGGGGTGCATGACTCTGGGACAGCATTTGTCCCAGATTCACAGCATCATGCAAGGATCCAGGTTTCCCTTTGCAGGCTGGCAGTGTTCCAGCCTGCAAGGGGCTGCCAGGAATAGGATGCAGGGGGCACCATGTGCATGCGGTTGGGAAAGAACTGGGTAGTGTGGAGAGCAGTTCCTTGCAGGTAAGTCTATGGGAATGGAGGGGACATGGGGGGGCACAGATCAACACCCCCATGGTGAGGGACGGAGTGGGGCAGGGGCTGGGGGGGGTTCCCAGCCAGGGCAGTGTATGGACCCCAAGGCCAGGGCAAGGAGCAGGACAGAGCCATAGATGGCTCATCCAGGTGTGGGGGAGGGCAGCTCCCCACCACTGTACACCACCCCCAGGAAGAGAGGCCTGGGGGGCCATGTGCCCCCCTGATTTTTGTGCAGGGCAGGGGCAGATGTTGGCCACCTGCTGCTGGCTCAGGGCTCCCTGCTCTTCTCCCCTTCCCTCAGGAGCCCCGCACTGCCATGACGATGCATCCCCCTACCTGCCTGGCATCAGCCAGGGTGGTGGCAGCATGGAGTTGTGCCCCCAACTGCTACTGGGTGGGCTACATGGCCATCACGGGGCTTCCAGGGAAAGGGCAGCAGGGCAGGGAGCCCATATCTGCCTTGGCCCTGCTTGGCTCTGGTGGGGGTGGGCGCAGGGGCAGGGTGTGGAGAGGGAGTCAGGCATGTGTACTGCCTTTGCATTTTAAAAAGGTGGTCACCCTAGTCCAGGGAGAAAGGAAGCATGAGGGGCTGAGGGTGAGTCTGGGCTGCATGCAGGGGGTAGGGGTGGGAATTGCACCTGTACATGGCAGCAGTGGAGAGGCCACAGCCAGTGCAGCAAAGGGCAACCCATCTGGTGTGGCCTACATGTCATGCAGCCCCTGCTAATGTGGCCTCCAGGGATTCGGAAGTTGGATGGCCCTACTCTGAATAAAAACCTACTTGAAGTGGCTTTTTTATCATTCTGTATTTCTCAGTGTCCAGACAGTGTTGTGTCTCTGGATAACAAGGACTCCAGAAGTATTGATATATAAGAGCTTTTCTGGCTGCAAGTTCTATACATGTATTTTTACAATAATGACCGAACTTCCAAAAGCATGCCCTGGGCTACATATGAAAGGATACTCTGGGAAAGGCTCTTCTTTGTTGATCTAAAGTCCAAGTAAAGAACCAAAAGTTTTATTCAAAAGACATAAAGGACAGGACTGAGAGTAATGTTTCATAACATACTTCATCTTGACCACAATTGTTCCTAAACTGCATTATTGGGGGGGGGGGGGGGGGTAACTTTCCCCTTAAAAAAGTAAAT